CTTGTACATTTTATAACCATGATAATTAAAAAAAAACAAAAACAAAAAAACTACCTATTTCTTTTTATCTCCTTTCGCTTCAGCACTATAATTTCTTGCCCAGATCACCGCAACAGCCTTTCAGAATGTTTAAATTGTGTGTCATTCCCCTCTCCGCCAATCCACTTTCCTTATTGCAGACAGAAAATTCTCTGAACTAAATATCTGATTGTATCACTCTTTTTAAAAACCTTTCAAGTGATCCCCCATTGCTGTAGAATGCTGTGAAAGTTCCTTCACTCATCTCTCATCCTTTCCAACTCCCATATTCTAGCACTCCTTTCTCTGTACTAAAACCAGAGTTATAGTGTACCTGTCTTTTTTAGGCCTTAGGGGGATATCCCCTCTTCTGGGAAGCTTTCTGTGACCTGGCCCTGGTATCCCTCCCACAGATACGCAATGAAGTCTGCCACTGTATTTATTATACTATATTGTAATGGATGGTTTACTTATCCATCTTTCCACGAGGCTGTGAGTTCCTTAAGGTGAGAGACAGTTTCTGATTAATCTTTATTTTTACCAGAGCCTAATGCAGTACCTGACACACAAAAGAAACTCAAATGTTTACTGAGACTATAGAAAGATGATATAGGAGCTATTAGTCAATAGATGGCTGCTTTAATCTAAGTCTGAAGCTAAGAATATCTAGTGTACTGGTGATTGTGAGGGATGGAGAAATCACTGATGCAAAAGCCAATTCAATTCATTAAGTACTAACTAAATACCCATTATGTACTAGAGACTACAGTAAGACCTAGTCCTGGCCCTAAATGATTGACAATTTAGCAGAGAAGGTATGAAACCAAGCTATAAAATGTGTCAAGTTCTAGAATATTACAAACAGTGCTTATTAAGTCCTGACTATAAAGCAGCTAATTTTACGGACATGGGGGAGGGGAGAAAGCTCAAAAATAAGTGGTAACCTTTCAGCTGAACTTTCCAGGCCAAAGAGAATTCTGTCAAGGAGAGAAGGGAAACAACAGTATTCCAGTGAGGGAACTGGATGAGAATAGCAAAAGGGCACAAGGGTGCATAATGTGTTCAAGGAACTAGAATATAAGCTATATCCCCAATGCTTAGAACACTGCCCAGCTCATAGTAGGTGCTCATTAAATCTTAGCTAAATGAAAGAATTTATATGCATTTCCGTGTGTATAAAAAGTAGGATATGTCACAGGAGATGAAGCTGGAAAGGTAGTTGGTGGCCAGATAATAAAGAACCTCACTACAAAAGGTCTCAGCTTAGATTGGTAGACAAGCCATTAAAAGGTTTAAAGCGAGGCCCTAACACAACCAGAACTGTGTTTCAGAAACATCTGTAACGGCTTTGAGGAATATGGTATTGAAACAGTGTCTCTTACGAGCTAAATGGAGGGGTACACACAAAAAAAGGACACGGTCATATGGTCTTTCACGTGCCCTGAACATGAGAAGGGAGAGAGAAAAAGGGTAGAGGTATGTGGAAATAATACTGGCTCACAGATTAAGTAATTTGTGCTAGAAACAAGAAGAGGGATATAAGTGGTCCCTCTTAGAAGGGACCTAAGTGTGCAAGTAAGGGTGCTCATTCCAAAACAAGAAACCGAAAGGATTGATAAGAAGGGTGAAAGGGAAACCAAAGAGCAAAAGCTATCTAAACCTAACTACAACATTCAGAATCCTGTATTAGAATAATGGTAGTTTCTTCAATGTAGGCACAGACCCCTACATAACTAACTGTTCAAGTCCAGCAAGAATGAACATGAAAACACAAATAGAGAGACAGAGATAATATAATCTGATGACCTATTAGATGGTAGGTAGAAAAGAAGAATTAAAAATGTCTGAACTTAAAAGTTTAGGTAACTGGAGGTATTATGGTTTTCTTAGATTAGATAGGGAACACTCCTAGATCAGGATGCAGATTTGAAGGAGGAAAACAGGTGCAGTTTTGAATATGTTGAATTTGGGAACCTGTACAGTGTCCAGTTTGAAATGAAGTCCATAAAGAGGTCAATGCCTCACAAAGATTTGGCAGTCATGAGTCAAACAGACAGAAGTAGAAACCACTGGGAAAGAGGTTATCTACAGAGTCACTTCAAGGTAAGAAGTGGGCCAAGGACAGAGCTGTGAAGGTTATTTACATTTCATTGGAAGGACAGGCAAGAGACAATGGAGATTCAGAAAGAGTACTAAGAAAAAGGTGGGAAAAGGAGGGGAGATAGAGGTGAATAACAATGACAGAAAACACTTCTACAATATGAACATCACAGGTCAGTCTCTGTTCTAAGCATTTATCTATTATCAACTCATTTAATGCTAATCATAACCCTAAGATGGGTACTATAACTATCCTCACTTTGTAAGTGAAGAAACGGAAAGACAGAGAGGCTAATTTGCTAAAAGTCACTCAACTAATAGATGGTAGAGATGGAGTATGAGCGTAGGCAGTCTCTCCTTGGACAATAGAATTTCAAAGAAGAGAGAGAGGCGAACAGTGTCAGACATTGCTAAGAAGGAGAGTAAGATTTGAGGTCCTCATATTTGGAATTAGGAGGTCACTGATAGGGGCATAAATCAGAATAAAGTGGGTTAAAAAGTTAATGAGAAGTGACGAGACAATCCCCAAGAGAAGATTTTTACAAACTGTATATCTCATGAGGGACTATCTAGCATATATAAAGAACTATTACAACTCAATAATTTAAAAAAAAACCCAATTTAAAAAAATGGGCAAAGGCTCAGAATGGGCAGTTCTCCAAAGATATACAAGTGGCTAAAAAGCACAAAAAAAGATGCTCGGTATCATTAGCCATCAGAGAAATGCAAATCAAAACCACAAGGAGGTACTACTCCATGCCCACTAGGACAGCTATAATCAAAGAGTCAGATAATAATATGTGTTAGTAAGGAGGTATAGAAATTGAAACACTCATAACACTGCTAGTGGGAATGTCCCTTTGGAAAAGTTTGGCAGTTCCTCAAATAGTTAAACACAGAGAAATTGTATGACCCAGTAATTCAACTCTTAGGTATATATCCAAGAGAAATGAAAACATGTCCATACAAAAACCTCTACATGAATGTTCATAACAGCATTTTTTATAATAGCCCCCAAACAGAAACAACCCAAATGTCCAAGTGAGGAATAAATTGTATATGCTATATCCCTATAATGGAATAGCTGGCAATAAAAAGGAATGAATACATGCTACAACATGGACAAACCTTGAAAACACCATGCTAAGTGAAAGAAACCAATCAAAAAGAACCACATACATATTGTAAGGTTCTATTTATATGAATTGTCCAAATAGGCAATCTACAGAGACAGAAAGTAGATTACTGGTTGGCTAGGGCTAGTGGGGGAAGAAGATTGGGGAGGTTTGGGGAGTGGTGCCGAGTTTCTTTTTGGCGTAATGAAAATGTGCAACCATCACCACAGTCAACTTTAGAATAACTCTGCGAGCATGCTAAAAGCTAAGTTGTACACTTTAAATTAGTGAATTGTATGGTATGTGAATTACATCTTGACAAAGCTGTTTTAAAAAGTTAATGGGAAATGAAGTAGAGGACAGGAATGCTTGAGTGGGGACGCAAGGTTGAAGAAAGATTGGGGAAGACCTGAATAGGTTTTATTGACTGAGAGAAGTCAGTGGAAAAAGAGAGCTTAAGAACAAAAAAAAAAAAAAAAAAGAAAAAGAAAAAAAAAGCAAGCATCATGGATTAAGCAAAGTCCTAACAGGGATGGACAGGAAAAGGAAAACAGTGACAGCAAAGATACAGATAACTGGTGTCAAGTTCAGAGTTCACACTTGAAGGATCCTATATTTCACGGAAGTGGAAGTAAATACACTTCAGTGTCTGTGGCTGAATACAAAGGTGAAGGATAGAGTAAGAAGTCGAGAAAAGTAATAAAAATTAGAAAAACTGCTGACAAGAAAGGGAAAAGAAAGCAACAGATAAAAACCTTATGCAGAACCGAGTAGAATGAGATTAGAAATAAGCTTTAATGGTATCAGTACGTGTGATTATAGGATATTCTTGGCTAGATTGGTCAGGCCACAGTTTATACAATAAGATGGCAGGTGACTTGGCTGTTTTGGGGTTGAAGGTTGCTGAAGAGTGTAGGTGAAATGCTTGATCATAAAATCCCATTGAGTGGGGAAGGTAGTTATATGAAAAGATGATGGATGTTTCAAAGGAAGAACTGGATTTAATGACTGAATCAATATGGAAGACGAAGGAGAAGGATTCCTAATTTATTTGTCTGGAAGAACTGACAAATAAATGACCAAAAAAGAGTTCTTGGAGAGGGAGCAGACTACAGAAAGATGAATTACTCAAAAATATATCATAAGGTTTAGATTGAGGAAGGTTCTTAGGAAAACAAACCTGTCATTTTAAAGAGAAACAGGAATTCAGGTGAGGCCCAGAGAAATTAAATGACTTTGATAAAGCCACAAAGTACCAATCGAAGATCAGAAATGACTCTAAACTCCAGGCCATTCTATTACACCACAGAACCTCACTAATATCTGGAGTTTGACATGATACAGGACATACAAATGGTGATGCTTCCTGAGGAGGTTCAATAGCACTAAAATTGGGTTTGAATTTCTAGGTTTATTTCAGGTGATAGTGGGGAAATATGATTCAGGAACAAAATGAATGACAGGAGAAGCCAATATGAGATAAAACATTTGCTCTGGTAATCCACACGGAGATAATCAAGAGTTGGATGTAGAATGATATAAGTACCTTAAAATATTCTAATGCAAGAACATTTAATGCTTCAAAATCCTCTCAATGTTATTTGGCAATATAGATGATAGGACATATAAATTTATTATGACTTAGAATTTTTAACATTAAGAAGAGCTTTTGCTTACTTTTAAGGTTCTTTTTATGTTACAGAAATATGAAATACTGAATTGAAGTCTTGATAAGGTCTCTTTTAAGGGGCTAGATATTTGCCTTACCTTTACTACCTTGTAGTCACACAAGTATTCCACCTCATAATTGTTTAGATTCCTTTTGGTGATTCCAATCGATTTACATGTGAGTTTTTCTTTTCTACATAATTCCTGAAGAGTATCAAGTGAAACTAGGCAAGGCACACACCAAGCTACAATAAGAAAATAGAATTCTTTACTAATGAAGTAGCTACTCAATTAAAACAAAAAAAGGAAAAACTTAAGACCTCTATATCCCCACCCTTCAACTGGCAAATTTTACAGGACTGAAAATTCATATGACAAGAAACCATTTATATGTCTTCAAGAAAAAGTTAAGCATTAAAGAACTATTTTGGTAAACTGGTCTTGGATTTTTTTCATGGATTTCTATCCTACTATGCTTAACTAATGTAAATTAATTTCTACTAAGCCACCTGAACAATAAGTTTCATGTCTGTAAGCTTTCTTAAAATTACATATAGATGCAAACGGCAACAGAGATAATGTTTTTACCTTTTCCATTATATTCTATATAGAATATAAAGAATATAATCAGTTTTAATAAAATGTAGATCCTAAGACAAACTTATTGTTATTAAAAATATCTTAAATATATTTTAAAACAGCCTTACAAGTTATTAAAAACAACTTTCTCCCTTTCTCTTAGTTGGACAAAAGAAATGAAATCTTATTGAAATATAGTTCTACAGTAACATAGTCATACAGCAATCACATGCCCTACTTTTCCCATTCTGGAATGCTGCATGAAATTTTAAGTCCATTTATTATTTTGCCTATGCTGTATTATTATCAAGGTAAATAAGCCCAAGAATTATTACAAATAATGGAGAATTTATTTTCATAATTCTCATTTCCTGCATTGTTTTAAAGCCAAGATTTACAAAACAGAGTACTCAATTTACATAATCCATACCAAGCTTAAAAAAAATCAGACACACTCATAATTAACCTTACAGAAGCCAGTAACTAAATGTGCTAAAGATTTTACTCTCAATTTTGTGTACACAGTATGCTACCACATGGCATATAAAATATGTTAACACAAACTGATGTTTAGAAATATATAATAAACTTGGCTTTATGGCTAGCGTTATGGTAAGCACTCCAGAGAATCAAGGGTCCTCTGCCCCACCCTTTGCTACGCTACCCAGCTACATGACTTTAGTCATGTTTTCATCTTTCCAGATTTCAGATTCACTGAAAAAGTGTGAGGGTGGGAGTAAAGTGGAATTAACCAAACAAAATCTATCAGTAAACTCAAGCTTTACTCGGTAGCTCTCCAAGGTAGTTGTGATAACCTTTTTGTTTTGAGGTAATTTCCAAGGAAGAGAGAACACACAGCAGCTCTTAACTATATCCTTCCCTCACCCTCCCCAACTCACACTGGGGCTTCATCGTCAGAAACCCTGAAGCACGATTTCCACCACCCTGCTTCCTACAAAAGATTCGTAATTCTAGACCAAGAAAACGAAAGGTATTTTCTCCAAAAAAATATTTGGGGGAGAGACTGCTTACTGTGGAGTGGTGGTTTGGGTGCAGGAGAGTGGTGTAACAGAAATGACCACTTAAATGTCTTCCATTTAAAAAACTTAGGGATGTTTTGTGTAAAGTTAACCTCACTATGCTGATCACGTGCAAAGGAGGTTCCTCTTGGATATCACCCAAGATGTGTATGTCTGTTGTCCCTACCATTTTTATCTAGTTTAACTTGAGGTTCAAGACAACCCTCGACGGAAATGCTATTTTTGAGAAAAAAAACCTGGAACATAAAAAACCGCAAACCCTGGTTAACAATTCCGATTATCTATGATAATGTAGAAGATAATTCATTTGCAAGATTAAACATTTTATTACCACTACAAAAACCTTACACTAGGTTCACACTAACCCCTAGTGGAAGAAAAGTTTGGGGATAATGAGTTCATAATCTAGGTGGACAGTAGTGCTAGCAAACACCTTTAAATTCTAGAATGCCTTGAAAATTCCAGTCTTTCAGAGGGTGCGCGAGACAGGCAGGCGCACACACAAACACACACACGCTAGGATCTAATTCTCTGGCGTCCACATAAATAACACGCAAGTTCCCGGTGGGTATAAAAATTACCCTAAGGCAGAGGCTACGTCTTCAAACACCCACTTACTGGGATAGTCTCCGACGGGGAATGTACCCTTAGCGTTCATCCTTCAGCCCCAATTTCTTTTTTCCTCTGATATTGAGGTCACATTTACACCACCGGGTACTTCCCGCTTCCCAGTTAAAAAGCCAGCCCGAACACAAAACGTCCCGCCCAAACCACCACAAAGAAGTAAACCACACGCGTGCCCAAGGCCCTCGAGCACCGCCCCCGGGGATTACCAGGAGCCGCGGCGGCCGCCCGAATACCTCCACACGGCGACCAGGCGGGGAGGGGCCTCCGGCCCAACGGGCAGCGGGGGCCGGGCCACGGAGTCCGCAGGACCTCCGCGGAGCGAGAGACAGCCGACCTCGGGGCAGGGCGCGCGGACCGGGCCCCGCGGAAGCGGGATGCAGGAAGAGACTGCGGGGAGCGAGCGGGCCGTGCCGTGAGAAGGGTCAGGGACCGGGGGAAGGGTGAAGCCCGCTGGGCGCCTTTGGGGGCCAAGGTGTCAGCAGAGCGGAAGGCGGCGTTTCGCCGCGTCGCGCTCTGGCGGGCCCACGGATCCCGGCCCCGCTTCCCGGGCCTCGGGAGTTTGCCTGGAGAACGGGGGACAGTGAGGGGTGCCGCTCTCCAGCCCTCACCTCCTCGCGCCTCGGCCCCAGCCGCCGCCATCTTGAGGAGCTTTCATTCAAACTGGCGCGGTCTGACGGGATAGCTCAGCTGGCCTGACGCCCCGCCCCCGCCCGACCTGCGCGGGAGTCGGGGGGCCCCGGGCTCGGGGCTGGAACCCGCGACGCGTCCTGACGTCACCGGAGGCCGACCCCGGCCGCAGCGGCGAGCGCGCATGCGCCCCAAGTCCCATTCCCGACACGCGGGAGGGCGCGGGAGCCGCTGGGGGGGCGGGGCGCGCGGTCCTGGTCAGGCGGCGCTTGTCCGCATTAGCGGCCAGCCCACCTCGATCGGGCGGTGTAACTCCTAATTCGGGAGTACGTACATCAGGCCTTCCCACGCCTTTTAGTTCTTTCACAGCAGCCCTACTTGTATGTTGTGCAAAATCCAAAATGTAAAGTGGAGCTGTGTGGTGCAGAGTTAGGTTTGCCTCCCATGCCTGTTCCTCAGCCACCTGAGCCCAACCATTGTTTCCTTCCACGCTACACCCCTAGATCAAAGGTTCTCAAAATTGGCTACATGTTGGGATTATTTGGAAAGGTTTTGTTTTTTGGTCCCACTCGCTGAGATTGATTTAATTGGTATGGGGTGTGACCTGAGCTTTGGAATTTTTTAGAGCTCCCCAGGTGATTGTAGTGTGAAGCAGTTTGAAACCACCAGTCGTCTCCATCTGTGCTTCTCTCACTTGAATGGCCATAGGAATCATCTGAGGATCTTGTTAAAATGCAGATTCAAATTAGGTAGGTCTGGGCTGGGACCTGAGGTTCTGCCGTTTCTAACGAACTCTCCGCCTGATGCTTCTGGTGGGGGGAGGGGGTCGAAGGGAAGGGTGTGCACAGCTTGCTAGCATGGCTGCAGGACGCCAGGTCTTCTCTGCTGGACAACTGTAGCAGCTCCTAACGGGGCTCCCCACCCCCCCCACCGCCACGCCCCCATCCATTCTTTACACCGCTTCCATGGTGATTGTTCTGAACAGTCTAACGCAGAAATCTTAAAAAGAGTCAATTGGGAAAATTTGGGTAGAAAGCCGTTTGACATCGACCAAGGATTTTTAAAAGAAATTTGTCAAAATTACAAAAATCTTTCAAAACATCATGTATAAGTTTGAAATACTGTATACACAGAACATTGAAGAAATTAATTTGCTTGATTCCATTGTGAAGTACTGTCTAGCCACTTAAAAAGATGTTTATGAAGCCTTTAGTATCATGGCGGAAGTGTTAAATATGTTAAGCAAAAAAAGCAACAACAAAAACCTATAAAAGTTTCAACTACATAAAAAAGTATAGGAAGATAAATGTAAAATCTCTGGGGAGTGATTTCCTTTTTGATATCTCCTTTTTACATATTTAACCATTTTCTATAATGAGCGTCTTATTACCTTGGTAATAAGGAATAAAAGGTCCTATCCATCCCTATCACATGGAAGCCCTTTTGTGATATGGTCGGTCCTGTCCACTTCACAAGCCTCACTGCTCATCATTCCCTCCTAATTTGTGACTTCCTCGAATATTCCTGCTCCCTGTCCCTAGGACTTCTTCAATTCTGCTCTTGCTGCTAGAAAATGCCTACTTTCCCCCATCTTTGCCAGGATTACTCCTAGAGACCCTTTAAGACTTAGATGCAGCTTCACTGCCTTCCTCCCCTCCCCAAGTGTATTCACTGCCAGTCCTGTATGTTCTTAGAACCCAGGAGCACCCATCCTTAGTTTCTTTCTTGGTTTTTCTTCTACCTCATTGACCTCTCTTCACTCCCCTTTTTGGTTCCCTTTATCTAGCCTAAATGCTGGGGTTCCTCAGGGCTTGGCCCCAAGATATCTCTCTTAGGCTCTCTCCCTAAATGACTGCCTCAGTTCCCATGGATTTATATATCATCATTATGCTTAAGGTTCCCAACTTTTTGTCTCCAGCCTTGACCTCTTCCCTGAATTCCAGATTTGAATATCCATAGTGCCTAGCTGACATATCCTCTTAGGTGTTGCACAAACATCTCAAATTGAACACACTCATAAGAGTGCCCTTGATTTTTGCCTCCAGACCTGGTCCTCTCCACTGCAAGCATCCCCAAACTTCCTCATCTCAATACACTGCCTCTACCATCTACTCAGGGGTCCAAGAAGGAAATCTAGGTGTCATCTTGATTTACCCTCTCCTCATTCCGTAATTTCATTAGCAAGTTGTGTCAATGCTATGTTCAAAATATACCTTGATTCTGCCTCTTTTCTCCATTGCTGCTGCTATGCCCTTAGTAGAGGCTGCCATTTCTCACCTGCAGTCCTACAAAAGCCTACCTGGTTTCACTTCCACTATAGCTTCCCCTCCAATCCATTTTCCATACAACTGAGTGACCTTAACACATAAAATGGGACATGTCCTTCTCCTGCTTTAAATACTTCCCAGAGTACCTAGAATAAAATCCAAACCTCCTGATACCTTGCTAGGCCTTAAGTGATTAGAACCCTGCCACCCTGACCTTACTTTGTGCCACTCTCCTCTTTCCTCACTGTTCTCTAGGATTTTTCCACCCATTCAGAAATCTTTTATGGTGTATCTCGTATGTGCCAGGCAATGTATGAGGTGCTAAAAGTAGACAGGAAAGAAAGACCCCATCCGCATAGAACTCATATCCTAGTGGAAGAAGCAGGTAATAAACGAGCAAGTACATAAATATCTGAAGGCAACTGTAATTACTTCCTAGAGGAGAAGCTGCTCTCTCTTCACATGGCTATATTCTTACTGCTTGGGTCTCCGCTTCTTCCACTTCCTCAGAGGCCTCTCCTGGTCACCCTATCTAAAGAAGATAACTCCTGTCTTCCATTCTCTCTCCTTGGCACTAAATGCACTTCCCAACATTTGTATTTATCTTGTCTGTGTTTTTTGGGTCTTGATCAGTTTCAGTAAAAATTTACAGAATGAATTAGACTCTTGTAAATCAACTGTTTCCATTGTCTTTCGTCTTCAACCCCATTAATTCCAGGGGATAGAGGAGACCTTGTCTCTTCAACAGGTACACTGTGTAACTATCTAAACCAGCAGCTCTCAAAGTATGGTATAGGGACCCCGAGACCTTTCAGGAGGCTCATAAGTTCAAAACTTTACATAATAATATCAAGATGTTTTCTGACTTCTTTACTCTCCTCTCACAAGTATAGAGTGAAGTTTTTCAGAGGATACACAACTTGGATATTGTAATAGATTGAATGAAGAAACAGAACAGAGCTGTCTTCTCAAGACAGACATTAAAGAGATTTGAAAAAACATAATACCACACTTACTACTAAATCTTTTTTTGTTTTTGAAAAGTTATCTTTCATAAAAATGTTACTTAACATGTAATTTTTTTTATTTAAAAAGCGAGTGATTTTAAAAATCTCTTGGTTTTAGGTCTAACCCAGGGTAGGGTAACATTTTTCAAAACATTCAGGAGACAAGGGGGAAACGTACTACTGTAATCCTCACCTGTAACTCAGGGAAGTTTGTTCTAGAAAGTTCCCTCCCATCTTCTCCATGGCCTGGCTTCTGAGGATGGTTCTGATCTTCCGTGAAAAACCAGATCCATGCCAGGCCCTTGGCCCCAAGTTATCCTTGGATCTCCCCAACATGCCCAGTAACAAGAGCTTGAGACTGATAGTGAAATTTCACATAGGAAGGAGGAAGGGAAAATATGAGTCAAAGGGACTACAAGTTACAAAAGGAAGGAGGATGGTTCAATGGATGAGGAGGTGAAGGAGTGATAGGGAAACCAGAGGCAAAATATTTACTGCAACAGCTATGACTCCTGGGGGGAACCCAAATTCACCCCCCACACATATCCAATATGCACCTTTGTATAGCCAACATCAGAAAGTGTCTGTGGCAGAAAAAAAAAATGTGTTGGTTTTAACTTCTATATGGTAAATAACTATAACTATGTATGTATATATATAAAACCAATATAGGGGCACCTGGGTGGCTCAGTTGGTTAAGCATCTGCCTTCAGCTCAGGTCATGATCCCAGGGTCCTGGGATTGAGCCCCACGTCGGGCTCCCTGCTCAGTGGAGAGCCTGCTTCTCCCTCTCCCTCTGTCTCTCCCCACCCCCACTCGTGTTTGCTCTGTTTCATTCTATCTCAAATAAATAAAATCTAAAAAAACAAAAACAAAACCCAATATAAATAAAAGCTCTTTAGGTTCTCAATAATTTTTAAGAGTGTAAGAGTCCTGAGACTAAAAAGTTTGAGGATCTTGGTAAATCCTGGCTATAAATGGAGAAGGAAATCAAAAGCCAGACGCATACATCACTGGCCTCAAGGGAAACATACAGAAATGCCTCCACCCCCGTTTTTTCCCATAAAGACCTCTGCAAATATGATTTCTGGAGACCCCTGGAGTGTCTCCTGTTTCATTTGAATGTTCTTCAAGAGGCAGGGAATAGAATGGACAATGTGAATTTAAATGAAATAATGCACAAAGTGTTTAGAATGGTAAGCAATTAAGAAAAATTGTTTACAAAAAAAGCATGTGAGTATTAGTTCAAAATTCACACTGTCAGTTCTTGGATAAACTATTTAACTTCTCTGAATCTATTTCTGTTTTTACATGTAGAACAAAATAATAGAGGCTAGATTACTCTTTGCATATTGCAACTACTCAGAGAGTTATGGTGACGTTACAATTTAAAATGAGATAAAGAATTAAAGCAAACAGTGGTATTGTTATAAATGTTACATGGTTACTCACTGTTACTTTAGAAATCCTGACATTTTCCCACAGAATTTGTTTTGTGCTGCTACATTTTTTTTTAATCTTTAAAAGCTCTTACACATATAACAGCTTTGTGATGACAAGTATGTTGTGTCCTCCCAAGACTTTCACAGTATTATATATAGGAATTTATTTCTATCTGTGTATTTGGCTCTGTCCTTTGGACAGTATCAGACATGTAGATAGGCAAAATTATAGTCTGACATAATCTCTTCCTTTACTGGTAAAAGTGCAAATGTTTTAAAAATTTTTTTTAAAGAGCGAGAGAGAGCACAAGCAGGGAGTGGGGCAGTGGGAGAGGGAGAAACAGGCTCCCTGCTTGCCTGATGTGGAGCTTGATCCCAGGACCCTGGGATCACGACCTGAGCCAACAGCAGACGCTTAACCGACTGGGCCACCCAGGCACCCCTCTTTTAAGTATCTGGACACTGCAAAGATAATTGGTAAGTGTATGAAAAGATCATCAAGATGTTCATCAAAAATATCTTAAGTTGTTACTCTAGGTGGTAGAATATAGGATGTTTTAGATTTTCTTCTTTTGCAATTTTTTTTTTTTAATTTTAAAAAGATTTGAGAGAGAGAGAAAGGAGGGTGCACATGCATGCTGAGCAGGGGAAGGGGCAGAGGGAGAAGGAGAAGGAGAAAGAGAATCTCAAGCAGACTCCCCACTGAGCTCAGAGCCTAACATGGGGCTCAATCTCATGGCCCTTAAGATTATGACCTGAGTCGAAATCAAGAGTTGGATGATTAACCGACTGAGCCACCCAGGCACCCCTTTCTTTTGCAATTTTAATTTTATAATGAATGTGTATCATTTTATAATTAGAAGAATGTTGAAGCTGTTTTTACCTTGAAAAAGTAAAACACAAGAAAAGGTAATTGGCAAACCCTCCCCAAATTCAGAAGAAAAAAACTTGTCACATGAGGATGCAAGACAATTTGGAGAACATTTCATTAGGCAACAGAGCACCTTTGGTGACAATTTCAGATTTGATACGT